AGATTTTAGGGTCCAACCCATAATAGGATCTTTAAAAGGAGAACTATGGGGTCAGGGCTTTTCCCCATAGTTCTCCTTAGGGTAACGGGAGGACACAAACTAGCGTCCTCCCGTCACCCTAGGCTCCGTATATTGAGATGCCGCAGCTGAAGCGGATCCCGACAATTGTGCCGGGATCCGCCCAGCTGCGTGACTGACAGCTGGCTCTGCCTATCTAGAGGCAGAGCCAGCTGTACCCTCCCCGTCCGTTCCGCCAGTCAGCGCTGGCGGATCGGAGCGGGGAATCCAGCCCCTCCCCTGCCACGGCAGTGAGCCGTGACAGGATCGAGAGGTGAGCGAACGCCGGTATGTGTTCGCTCACCTCCCGATCTACTGAGCCGACCTGTGACAGTCTCATTGTCACAGGTCGGCTAGAACTATGAGGTGAGTGAAAAGCACTCATCTCATAGTTCTCCTTTAAGGGTTAACTTGTTGGAATCCAGCTCACACTAAGGCTTAGCTATTGCGGTTTTCTTTCGATTAAGAGCTGGGCATAAGAATTAGGTCAAGGTTAAGGGTCAGGTTCAGAGGTTAGGTTTAACGTCAGGACCAATGATGGATGTGCACCAGAGTGGCATCATTATCTGTCAGTAATTGGATAGGCAGAGCCCAAAAGCAGGGGCACCCACCTTGGGATAGCGTACTCTGGAGATTAAACAGATTCCAAATACGTGGTACAAAAGGGTAAATCCAATAATCATAGTCAAACGAGCATAAGGTCAAAGCAGGCAGCAAAGCAAAGGATCAAACTCAATAAATGAAGCAAAGGTCGGGTAAAGGAATCACACGGCTAGCAACTGGAACACACTGTGGATAGCTCTGAAACAACTGAGTCCTCTCTCTCTGGAACCTTACAGCTTTATAGCGATCAAACAGGAAGTGATGTCAGGAGGTGTGGCAGAAGGGATGCAATTCCTGTCTATAACAGGAAGCACTCCACTGCTGCCATTTTGATGTAAGGATGCCATTAAACAGGATGGAGAGCGGGTACAAGCAGTCAGTGATCAGTGATTGCTGAGTGTTTGTAAATAATTGAGGACATGGTATGTTTTTCTATATCCCCAATTATGAATGAATGGGAAGTGATCTACATCCCTTCCTGTTCATTCATGATTGTGGATATACTAAACATACTCTGTCCTAATGTTATGAATGAACAGGAACACTCAGTATAGAGAATTCCTGTTCATTGATAACAGGGGCTGCAGGAAAAGAGATTGACGTCTCAGTATACCGCGAGCTACAGCTCGCGGTATACTGAGACGCCGGAGCGGATCTCACGACATCGATGTCGA